GCCTCCCACTCTCTCCCTATTTATTTCAGAACCCCCTTCCCCTTCCCCTTTTCTGATGAAGGGTCTGGGCCCGAAACGTCAGCCTTTCTGCTCCTATGATGCTGCTTGGCCTGCTGTGTTCATCCAGCCCTGCACCTTGTTGTCTCTATATTACTTACTTTTCTGATTGAAGCTTAGTAGTTTTAGTTATCAGATCTTGTGTCTGTTCCTTTGCTAGCTGAAATGAAAACAGAAAAGATGTGTTTTGCTGTTACATACTTGAGAAAAGTCAAATAGGCACAACGTCTTTAGATAACACATCAAAAATTCTTCCACAAATTGATATGTTTTTCGTATCACTTATAGAAGCTTAACTGAAGAACAACAATTATTCAATACTTTTGATCTTCCTAGTCAGAAGACAGCTTTAACCTTCTCAGTACTTCCACATTGCTTAAAGCGTTGGGAATGGATAACCTGCTCCTTGGCTCATGCAAATGACATTCTGACTGTCTTCCAAATTTTTAAAAGGCAACAACTCTCCAAAAGAGCACCATCGGTAAAGCATTGTGGATAAAAATAAAAATTCATCCTGTCTTTTTTTTGGCAGGATTCCAAAGTCAATTATTTTGCACACTCCACATCCTCCGTTCCCAACCCTACTTCCTTTTGTGTCTATCGCTGGAAAAAACCCTTCCAAAGTAACTAACAATGGCAATTTAAACTTCCTAACTGCCCAAACATTGATACCCCCCCATTCATTTTGACATATCTGCTCAACAAAATCTTCATGGTCACTTGTAATTGCCTTGTTTTCATTAAAATCAATGCTCTCTCACTTACCATTTCCCATGACATAACCATCTGGTTCATTAATGCCCTTTAGGGAAGGAAACTGCCATCCTTCCCTGGTCTGGCCTACATGCGACTCCAGATTTACAGCAATGTGATTGACTCTTAACTCCCCTGTGGGCAATTAGGGATGGGCAATAAATACTGACCTAATGGTGACACCCTCATCCCATGAATGAATTTTTAAAAAAAATCAGTATCTCAGATCCCCAAAATCCAAGGCACACACACTATGGAAAACAAATGATCTAGTCAACATCTTTCTGGTAAGCAATTTTATGTCTGGCCTCTCTGAACTTCAAGTCATCACAATAAATGGTTTCCTTGCCTCTTCCTCCATTACCTCTATTAATTGTAAGGAGGTCATGGTCTTCTTTGTCACCATGATTGAGGCCATCTGTGTCGCCACCTTTCCTGACTTCCTCCCTCTTCTTAGTGCACTAACGCAAACATTCCTTAAAAGGTCACTGCGCCATCATCAATACAAGTCTCATTTAAAAGATAACTGAGATTCAACTCTCAAGGTTAGGGTTGAAGTTTTTACTTGTTTTTGCATCAAGAATGGTGTGTCACTGCTCGCTTATAGGCAGAACCACTCACTAGTGTACACAAGGTCTGCTCCCAACTTTTTTAAAATGCACCACAGAAATCATCCTATCTGGATGCATCACAGCGTCTTATGGCAACTACACCTCCCATGCCCGCAAGAAACTAGAGTTTTGAACGCAGCCCAATTCATTACGCAAACCAACCTTCCATCCATTGAATCCACCTACTCTTCTCGTCGCCATAATCAAAGATCACTCGCATTCAATTATACTCTCTTCCACCCTCTTCCATCAGGCAGAAGTTATAAAAATTTGAATAGACATATGGATAGATTGAATAACAGCTTTTTTGCCACTGTTATCAAATTTTTGAATGAACCTCTCAAATGTTCAATCGAATCTTACACTCTGCACCTTCGTTACACTGTATTCTATACTCTCTTCTACTACCCTAATGCACTTTGTATTGTACAATCTGCCCGTATAGCATGCAAAGTACTTTTCACTGTATCTTGGTATGTGTAACAACAATAAGTCAATCAGTTCAGCAATACTATTCTCGTCTAATCTGTTCTGTTCTATTCTATCTTCGACAAAAGGTAACAGCTTTCCATACTCAACCTGTCAAGACCTCTCAGGAACTTGTATGTTACAAACAAATCACCTCAGTAACCACCTGGCAACACCATGGCAGGCATCAAAACTGCAACATTTATGCATTGGCTGTATGATCATTTGAATGTTAATTCTAAAAGTTTTCATTGCAGTTTAATGCCTTAGGGCCTTGATGCTTTGGAAACTCTCCACTTTATATGTTTGTGTGGGTTCCAGAACAGTAAGAGTGACAAGAAAATAATTCTGCTATGGTTTGGTAATGAACCTCCTTCATCTTAGTATTAGCGGTCATAGTTTCAGCTGCATAAGTCACAATTTCTGAAACTCGTTCTCTAAATCTGCTTATTTCTCAACTTTCTTTAAGACACTAGACCACCTTTATTGGATCATGTCAATTTGTGTCTGACACACATCTTAGTAAAACATCATAAAGCATTCCAATGTTAATGGAGCTATATAAATGCATGTTGTTGTTGAACATTAAAGCAAAGCAAAACCAATTTCAAGCAGTGAGAATACACTGAATCTTGGTTGTTTTGGAAACACAAGTATATATAGACACTAAGTGTTTCTTTGAAGCAGATGGAATCCACAAATGACATACGTGACTACTGTTAGTAAACTGGCAGGGAATAATCTCATCCTCATAATCTTATATGTGTCATGTGGTAATGGCAGTCATCTGTCAATTCTAAATCCAAACCACAAAATGCCCCAGTAGACATCACATGAAGTGAAAAATTAACAGTTGTCAATGTCAGACATTCTAAATAATATCAACAGCCATATTCCTACATATATTGAGAGAGGTGTGGATTTATTACAACTTACTTTTAGACGACTGGTCATATCCTGACAGCAGGCACTCATTGCTTGCACGTCTTCATGAACACCCTCCAGCTCCTATGATAGAGTGAAATCAACATGTAATTTTAAAAAGTTGCTATAAAGGGCACAGGGTATTTTCTATTCAAAGTAAAATTACACTTTTGTAATAACATAACTGTCTACAAAATTATTATATTTGTGAAGATGAGATATGGAGCACATTGTCTTTTAAGGAAAAATTGGGTGCAAACTCAACACTTACAGCAGCATCAGCTGAGGTCTAGAATCAAATTGCCTGCTTGCGGTGCTTCGCCTAGTGAAATTAGGATCAACCATTTACATTTATACAATGTTGTTAAAGTAGCAAAGAGCCCCACGATGTAAGATTAAATGAATAGAAGCAGATTAGGCACAAACAACTAAATCATGACTGAAGGAGGAGGATTTGTGAAGGATTTTGAAGATAGTAAAAGAAATATCTAGGTAGAGGGGAATAACCAGGCTTTCCAAAAGTGGATCAAGACAACTGAAGTCTTTTGCAACAAAAGTAAGGTAAAAGAGATGGGAACAACTGGAGTATAAAAAGATATCCAAAAAAAAAACACATTTTTACTTCTTAGCATTGAAACAAGTTTTTGTAAAGGGAACAAGACAACTCAGGACAAGAATTTTAAATTAAATCTGTAGAAGGAGATGAAAAACATCCAGTGCAATGGGGAAACTGCAAGTGTGTGATACGGATTGGAACCTCCTTCAAAGCAAAAGTATAATGGGCCAAATGGGCATTTGTGCTGCAAAATTCTAAGGACAGAAAGGCAGTGCTGAACCCAATGGCAAGGGCATGTCTGACAGACAAGCAGAGTTAATGTAGAATATGATGAGAGAGAACAACATTTTGAATTAGTTGAGATTGTGTAAGGATGAGGTTTGGGGGCCAGCAAGGTGAGAACTGAAAAAGGTGAACAGCAAAATGTGATTCAAAGGACAAATAGAGCAATAATGCATCGAGAAAAAATGGAAAATGTTGAAAACCGAAGTCAAACTGGGTGGGGTGGAGTGGAGCGGGGTCTAGGCACAAATTGGACTAAGATGCATGTGAATGTCAGCAGAGAATGAAACTTCACTACTAACTCAACAGCATATGCTGTGACAACAAGGTGCAAAGCTGGATGAACACAGCAGGCTAAGCAGCATCATAGGAGCAGAAAGGCTGACGTTTCAGGCCTAGACCCTTCATCAGAAATGGGGGAGGGGAAGGGGGTTCTGAAATATGCTGTGTTCATATTTATCTGTTACTATTAAACAACAGCCTGCATAGATGATCTTATAGCACTAGTAATGTCTTCATAGAATTTGTAAAATAATTAAACGTTTTTAATTATACTTTCATGTTTATAACATGTTCTAAGCTCCATTAAACCATGACCGTCCTTCACATGATAGAAAATCCTTCCCACTCCCCCCACCTCAGCTGTAGCCACTGCCTTATGAGTAACATGGTGAAAACAGGAAACAAGCAAACGCACTGCTCCAGAACTCTCAACAAAACTAAAAAAAAGTTATGTACACCTTTCACCTGCCATAGTCACAGCTGCTTGAAAAAATGGCTAAAAATATGTAAATTCAAACGTGATGAGATAAACAAATCAAGACTTCACATTTTGCGTATTATGAGATGTTATTAAGAGTAAGATTGCCAACAAAACTATTAGCAGCAAAGAATGTCTCAGCTTTAGATAGAATCTCTGTTTACACAGGTTTCAGGGTTACAGGAATTTACTTTGATCCACAACTTTCCAATTATGCTACAGTGAAGTTGTTACACCATGTCAAGTGAAGATGCCTTACAACTTCCGGAGGCAATCTGGGAATCTTGGTAAAGAGTTCAAGTGTTCTGTACACTTAGAGCTAGAAACTCTGTTTCAAATCAAGAAATCACTAAACATGTCAACAATATGATGTAGAATCCCCCTCGTCCTCACGTACCACCCCACCAACCTCCGGATCCAACGCATCATCCTCCGACACTTCCGCCATCTGCAATCCGACCCCACCACCAAAGACATCTTTCCCTCCCCACCTTTATCTGCTTTCCGGAGGGACAACTCTCTCCGTGACTCCCTCGTCCGCTCCACACTCCCCTCCAGCTCCACCACACCCGGCACTTTTCCCTGCAACTGCAGGAAGTGCTACACCTGCCCCCATACCTCCTCCCTCACCCCCATCCCAGGCCCCAAGAAGACTTTCCACATCAAGCAGATGTTCACCTGCACATCTGCCAATGTGGTATACTGCATCCGCTGTACCCGGTGTGGCTTCCTCTACATCGGGGAAACCAAGCGGAGGCTCGGGGACCGCTTTGCAGAACACCTACGCTCGGTTCGCAATAAACAACTGCACCTCCCAGTCGCGAACCATTTCAACTCCCCCTCCCATTCCTCAGACGACATGTCCATCCTGGGCCTCCTGCAGTGCCACAACAATGCCACCCGAAGGTTGCAGGAACAGCAACTCATATTCCGTTTGGGAACCCTGCAGCCCAATGGTATCAATGTGGATTTCACAAGCTTCAAAATCTCCCCTCCCCCTACCGCATCCCAAAACCAGTCCAGCTCGTCCCCGCCTCCCTAACCTGTTCTTCCTCCCACCTATCCCCTCCTCCCACCTCAAGCAGCACCCCCATCTCCTACCTACTAACCTCATCCCGCCCCCTTGACCTGTCCGTCCTCCCTGGACTGACCTATCTCCTCCCTACCTCCCCACCTACACTCACCTTTACTGGCTCCATCCCCGCCTCTTTGACCTGTCTGTTTCCTCTCCACCTATCTTCTCCTCTATCCATCTTCTATCCGCCTCCCCCTCTCTCCCTATTTATTTCAGAACCCCCTTCCCCTCCCCCGTTTCTGATGAAGGGTCTAGGCCCGAAACATCAGCCTTTCTGCTCCTCTGATGCTGCTTGGCCTGCTGTGTTCATCCAGCTCTGCACCTTGTTGTCTCGGATTCTCCAGCATCTGCAGTTCCTACTATCTCATCTTAACCAAATGGATGCTTTTCACATGTGAATCAGACAATAGGTTGAGTCAAAACATTAGGAGCAAGAATCCAGATTACTTTTTCATACAACTTGTCTAGAGATGCTGAGCTAAATCTGTGGTTCAGCAGCACACTAAGTGGTATATTTACCTGCCAACATTTCAGGGAATTGTAAAAACCAAAAGAACTGTGAATGCTGTAAATCAGGAACAAAAACAAAGTTGCTGGAAAAGCTCAGCAGGTCTGGCAGCATCTGTGGAGAAGAAAACAGAGTTAACATTTCAGATCCGGTGACCCTCCCTCAGAACTGATTTCTCAGGGAATTGTGCATGGTATGTTTTAATAAAGCAGTGTATTTTTGTAATCCTTAAAGTTCAATAACAACAGTTTCAGTTGTGCTGCAGTGTTAGTTGGCCAGTGGTAAGTTTAATAGAATAATATGTCTGCTGTTAACAACATTGCAATGACAGAGTGATTCCACAATACAGCTTAAACCAACCATGAACTTAAAAATTACAAAATACTATGGAAATACAATGCTGTTTTACTTCAGATATGTAACATTATAGATGTTGAGCTAAGTAATGAATATCAATTATATTCCTATATGAGAATAAGTTAATTGCATTCCCTTTCTGAACAAAATGAATGAAGGTGTGCTTTCCATTGTGAAACCATTATAACCATTGGTTGTAGTTGATTCGTAAGCATTGTGTTTCATTCATGCCCATTCTCAACATTTGTGCTGGAGAATTAATAACCTTTGGCTGATGCTTGTTGTTTATGTTGCCAGTTCCGCTCTGGATGCTATCACTGGATTCAGCCAGGCCAGCGTTTGACCTTTCTGCTTAGTTTTGAATTGGGTTAAATAAGCAGCAGAACTTTGATGTGTTCTTTGAAGAGGCTGGTTTGCAACATCACAGGATCATTTTCTTTCGTTGTCAATTGACTACATCTATGAGATTTGATTATTTCAGTATTTGCATCATGTGATCAAAATGACAAAAAAGGATGGCCAAATATGTAGATCACAGAACTAAGGAAGAGAAGACAGCTACTTAACATAGTTGTACAAATGTAATTATACTACTAACACAAAAGGAAGGATTAACTTGGACATATTGCAGAGGATATACACTTTCATTCAGACATGAGGATGGATTTTGGAATTTAGTCTGCATGGGATTGCACCAAAATGTATGAAAATTCTTGCTTGATACCCAGAAATTGTAAACAAAGTAGGGAGAAGAGGTGGCAATTTAAACTGATATGAGAGAAAGGAAATGGGATGGTGGGCAGTGGTCCTGGCACTCAGTTAATAACATATAAAAACATTATGTTAATTTTTAAACTGTACAGTTACAAAACAAGTGAAAGATAAGGTAAATGATGTGTTCACAAGCCCTCCTCTGGATTTAGCCGGGCACTTAAAAATTAGAAATTTAGTTGTGAATAAATGTGCAAGTGGGTTAATGAGTACCTAGGTATTAACCAGATGACATGGTTGTGTTTTGTCACATTCAGCAAAATGTAATCATTTTACTGGTTTTATTTTTGTTTCATTTTCGCTCTTATGATCACACAGAAAAAGAAGAATATTCAAAAAACACAGAAAAGTAAGCGTAGTTTACAAGAAAAAATATAATAATTTGGTAACATTGTCTGAAATGGAAGAAGATGCAAATTAGAATGGAATGTGTTGACCTTTTACAACTCTAAATTGATAGTGTTTAGGCTGTAGCTGCATACAATATTGTTTCTATATATTATTGGGGTGTGAAATTACGAGTTAATGCTAAACTTTACACTAATTTGATTTGTAATGACTGTTGCTAGGCATCACAATATTAGGTTAATTGATTACGCATCTTATTGTGTTGAATGGGAATTTCTTTGGATTCATTTAAATAGGTCCCTTTTATACAAACATCTATTTACAAAATATAGTGTACATATAGTATAAAATATTTGATTGTGTAATGTTTTTGAAAATCTTGCTAATTTGTAGCAGGAATTTTGCAAACTAGCCAACTGAAAT